ACACTCTAGTCCCGGCCCCGCCCACCCCCTCCTGTAAGACGCGTGGTCACGTGTGTTTCTACACTCTCGCAACAAACGAAGGATTCGCGCTGCGGCCCCGCCCCCCAACCCGGGGTGACACAGGGCCTCACAGACGCCGCCCTGCCAGGCAGAGCCGGCCAGGGGCCAGACCCAGGGCCGCCGACATCAAGGGGCCAGGGGTCAGTGTTGCCATTGCTGTTTCCATCACATACGACTTCAAACCCTCGTAGGGAGGCCTGTCCACTGTCTGGCCCCACGCTTCTGCTCTTTCCATTAGTCTTTCTATGTTCCTCATGCTCTAAGGTGCCTCCTCTTAGTATTTCCTCTCTGTTTTATGGACTTCCTTCAGCCACTCTTGAAGGATACGTCAGCTAGAAAAATTCCTTTGCGTTTCCCTTTATCAGAGAATGCCCCGCATTCCTGAAGGACAGTATTGTCAGGTTTAAAATTCACAGTCACCCGTTCTCTCATTTCAGCACTTCTACGGCCAGGATTCCACGGACAGCCTTGTTTCCAGAGCCCTGGCAGTGTGGTTGGGAGGTGCGTCCGGGGCTCCTCTAGGTAGGAGGCGGGACTCCCGCTTCCTGGGGCAGAGAGCCCAGTGGCATTTCCCTTTGCCGTCAACGTCTCCCCTTCTCCCAGTGCCCGGGGAAGGTTTGTCAAGATTGACCAAATTCCAGGACATAAAATAACCTCAACAAATTTTTTAAAAGTGAAATCACCCACAATATGTTCTCTAACCCTAATAGTATCAAACGAAGTCAGTAAGAGCAAGACAGTGGGAAAACCTCTAAACAGCTGGAAATTAAACAAAACACTTCCAAGTAATCCACGGGTCAGAGAGGAAGTCTCTAAAGAAATTTAAAATACATAAAACTGAGCAAAATTAAAGATACCACACACCAAAATGCGTGGGATGCGGCCGCAGCCGCACTGAACGTGGAATTCACAGCTGGATGCTTCCATGAAAAAGAAGGAACCACCAGCCCCACCAGGCAGAACCAGCCAGGGGACGGACCGGGGGCCCCTGCTCATGGAGGCGAGTCCTGTCATGGTGCTGAGGTGACCGCAGGGCTCACTACTACCCAGGGGGGTTACAACTCAAATGAAAGAGAACCAAGAAAGTAAAAAGTTCACATGCAGTGTGGTCAAGGGCTTCTAAGGAGGGCAGTGCAGACTTCCAGGAGAGCACAGACCGCATCAAATCCAGGCTGGGGGAACCAAGGAAGGCTTCTCAGAGGAGGTGACACTGAGCCGAGTTTGGCAGATGAGGGAGACCCCCAAAATGGAGATAGGGTGCTCTGGGCTCAGGGAGTTGGATATTGAAGAGCGCCAAGGGAAAGAGAACATCGCCCACTGAGGCACAGTTACCCTGGCATGAGCAGGGAGACCCTGGGAGAACCAGGCTTGGAAGCAGTGTGGGAGCTGGGGTGCCACCCGCCCCTGGGATGACCAGCACCTGGGGGCATGAGTGCTGACCACCTCGGAGGTCTGCAGGTGACTGGGACAGGCCAGCGGTACAGGTAGACCCACCTGTTAGAAAAGAGGGTGGGGAGGGCAAAGGAGGGTAGGAGACCCTGGGTGACAAGTCAGCACCCCGGTGAGAAGCACTCATAAGATGCTCCTGTCGAGTCTGAAGTGTGACCAGCTGCAGCGGCTGCCCTGGATCCCGCTGGTGGACCAGGGTCCTGGTACCCATCTGTGAGCTGCTCAAAGCCCAGCTCAGCATCTTCCTTGGAGGGACACCCAGAGGTTCCCCCAGCCTAACCCAGCAGGAGATAGGCTTCTGGTGAGTCCTCTGAACTTGCTGCTTCTTCATAGCTCTCCATCCCCTTGTAATTAACTTAAATTTGTGCACTTAAAGGTTCGGTTCATTACAGAGGGCAGATGAACACAACAGACATGACACCTTCAGGAGCTCAGAGACTGGAGGCAGGTGAATCTGGGACAAGTGAACAATGGTGGTCCAACCTGGAGAGAACTAGGATGGGGAACACTGGCTGCTAGGTGACCACAGAGCAGGAGTACCCGGCCCTAATGTGGAGGGGTCAGGGAAGGCTTCCTGGAGGAGGTGTATCTAAGTAAAGTTCCTCAGGTTAGGCAGAGGGAGAGAATATTCCAGGCAGAGAGAGCCACAGGTGACTGAGCAGCCAACCAACCTGGGTCGGAATCTCAGGTCCTCCAACCACCCACAGGCTGTGACTTCTTTGGGCCTCAGTTTCCAAGTCTTCAGGATGGAGAAGCAACTGGGCAGGGGGTGCAGCGTCACCCGCCTGGTGGAATGAGGCTCAGGGAGGACGGGCCCTGAGAGGGAGGAGGGAGCCTGGTCCCCTGACCCTTGGAGTGTCCACTGAAGGTCCCAAGGCCCAGCGCTGGGTGTCAGCCCTTCCCCACGTCGCCCAGTTTCCTGGCCTCGGTCCTTCCTTCCAGTACCGTCTACCAGTGAGAAGGGCCACGTAAGGCCCCGGAACCCACGCGGGAGGCTGGGAGTCGGCCTGGTGCCCGCCGTCCGCGCTCCAGCAGGTGGCGCTGCCGCCCCTCGGAACGAGGCCGGGCTCCCTCCAGGGCGGGGCGGGACCGAGAGCGGAGCAGAGGCCGGGGGCGGGGCCGGGGCGGTCCGAGTTCCCGCCTGTAAAGAGGGGAGAGTGTCCCCCATTCCAGAGAAGAGGGAGCTAAAAATTCAACCCTATTTACAAGTGCTTTACTTCTAATCATCGTGGAACCGTGGCATTTGGAGTTGAGAAGAGCCTCAAGACCTCGCAGATGGAACAAACAGGCTGCCATTCCTTGACCTTTGCACGTGCCCACCCCTCTCCCGGCCTGCGGGGCTGAGGTGCCTTCCACTGGTTTTGGTTCCATCTTCAGACTGATCCTCCCTCTAGGTCTTCATGGGGCAGGTGAGAAGGTCAGGTCTCAGAGAGGCTGAGAATCACACCAGGGCCCAGAGCCAGCGGCTAGGGGCAGGACCCGGATTCTGCCGGGTCGTCTTGACCGCACGGTCTGCAGCTCCGAGACCCCTGGGGGGCCTGGAGACCCCGCTCCCTGCCCTGCGACCTTCTTGTGTATGAAGGACCTTGGCAGTCTATCTCTATCCAACCTCGATTCAGCCACTCCCACCTGTCAGACTCTGGAGCTACAGCACTGGCCACAGCACATGGGTCCCCTGCTCTCATGGGGCCTGAGTCTGTGGGAGAGACACTGGGTCACTTCAGAGGAGAGTGCTGAGTGCCTGGGCAGGCGATACCATTTAGATCGGGCAGGCAGAGAAGGGGCCACCATGCCTAGACCTGGAGGTGGAGAGATGGCAGGTGCAAAGGCCCTGGGGCAGGGACCAGCCAGACCTGCTCTGGGAGGGAAGGGAGGCAGGGGAGAGGAGAGGCTGAGCTGATGGGCAGGGGTGGTTCATATGACAGACCAGGCATTGGCAAATATGGTCTTCCACCTCATTGCTGGGTAGTGGACACTGTTCTCTCCATTTTGCAGGTAAGAAGCATGAGCTTCTATAGAAGTTCATTCCTGCAGGGCCTCACAGCTAGAAAATCAAGGCCTGGCATGGGCGGACTGGAAGCCCTTGCTCTCCCCGGGGTGTGCTGTCTCAGAGCCTCTGCCTACGCCTCCTCCATCTGACCTTTGTAGTTTAATTGCCATCTTCCCTTGCACAGACTCTCCTCCAGCCTGGGGTCCCCTACAGTTCCTTGCTAAAGCTCTGAACCTTCCGCTCTCCTTCCCTCCAGACTCCCCCACCCCCACAATGTTGATGACATCTGTTTTTCCCTCTGAGACCAAACAGGCCTCTGCTGGCTGTGAACGCTGGAGGAAAAGGGACAGTGGTGCAGGCAGCCAGTGACAACACCCAACTGGTCTGGGCTGGAGCCCGAGATGGCTCCGAGGGCCAAGCTGCAGCCGAGAGCTCGGGAAGTCTCAGACCAGTCGTGATCTCATCCCAGGAAGGAACGGAACCCTGGGTGTGACGGCCACGGCCTCAAGTCACCTTGAATCATGGCCATTCTCTGCCTCATCCCAGGGGCCAATATTTCTAGAACACTTGCTGTGTAGGTGCCAGGCTCGATGCTAGGCACAGCGTGCACAGGAGCTCATTCCATCCAGAGAACGACCCCCGTGAGATTCAGAGGTCTGGGAGCTTCCCCAGTGCAGTGCAAGCAGCCTGTGGCAGAGCGGAGGCCCAGAGGCCCCAGGCCCCTGCCGGCTCCACACCGGGGCTCCCGCACCTTGGTCTGCAGGTGTCCAGCCTGCAGTCATGAGACAGGACACACGCAGACCTCAGGGCTGTGGGAGGCGCTTGGACGGAGATAAGAAACCCCAACCTGGCCCTGTCGGAGGGAGGCCATCCCAAGGGAGGCGGGCGAACAGGCTGAAATCAGACGCGACGCTTCTGCTCACGTGTGTAACTTCCCTCCAACGTGCGCACCATCTGCCGGAGCCGCCGAACCCAGGATTGCAGTCAAGTGCAGGTTCATGCACCCTGTTCTCGGACAAACTCAGTCCTTCGGGCCCGTCTGAGCCCCCACACCACACACACACACTCCTATTGCTGCCCCCAAACAAACGTGTTTGTGATTTAGGGAATTTCCACACCGTGTCTAATTTCATTTATGAAACAGAAAAATCAGGAAGTAATCACAAGGGGAGTCTGGCATGACGAACG